TTGTCACATTCCTTCTCTCATCGTGCGGTTGCAGGCTTTTGCGTGATTAAAGGCACGGTCCGCGATGAGAAGCGTAGGTTCTGAAGGTGAAATGTGCAAGTAAAGTGGCCGAGTGACTCGTCCGTGAGGAGAAAATGCCAAAGGGAGCGTTGGAAACACCTTTGAATATAACGCCTTCAGCCTCAAACAGTTGCACTTGCGAAATGCCAAAAAACCGCTTGTTAGGGCGATTCCAGTTTGCTGACTCCGTATAATGAACCCTGTGATCCCACAAGGGACAATGGAGCATCCATTTCATATTACTTGTCCGGTAGCATCGCTTTTGGCTGGAAGGCGATCTTTGAAGGCGGAGTCACTGGAAAAAGGAGGTACCACTGGAGCAATTTGCAGCATAACTCCTACACCTTACAACTTTCGGCCGTAAAACTGGCACAAAGTTGTTCACTGTGAACCACGCTACCCCTCATAGCAGTCTTTTACCTTTTCATAGGTCATCACAGACCGTTCCTTCAAATTCCACGCAGTCTTTGCTTAGAGCTGGTGATTGTCTCGTGGAACCAAAGAGTGGAATACTAGCAGGAGAGAAGCTGATACCAACCAAAGTTGGTCGTACTTCTGCCACTTAGAGGAGCGAGGGTGAGGTCTCCACACACCCCACCCCTCGAAGCCATTGTTTTGCAACATACGTCATCCAGGTTGTTACTCCTGTTTCGCCGGACTGGCGGAGTATCGCTTCACACTCTCAAGGTATTCAACGACATCCTAACAGAAGCTTGACAATTGTCAGTTGATGCCCCTAGCTCCTGATTTGGTGGTGAAAACGTTGAGCTGTGAGCAGCCAGCTATCCTTGAGAAGAGCATTCTTACAAACTTAGATGATACCGAGGAGTTCTTGACAGTCTGAGTGGGAGAGGACTCAGCAATTCGTCAAATAAATGCGCAAGACTGAGGCGAGGGTCACATTGGGCAAGGTTGACCAGAATATCTAGCGCTTAGTAACCTAAATTCAATTAATTTAGATCAATTTGATATATCACGCAGTTTTTGAAAATCTAATCCGGGTGGTAAGTGTAAGATTTGAACCCATTTAGGGTTCAGATGTTTCCCTTCAGTGAGCGACATCATTGATGAGAGAACGGCAACTTGCAAGTTGCAGCCATTAATATCTAATAAAGAGTTCTGCCGGGGTTTCATCGGTATGCATCCGGTATTCCGAGGACGAAAAGGCCGCGGAAGCTGTCCATATTTGAAATATGGAGTTTTGGCCGCCGCTGCACGTGGTGCCTTATCGTATAGCACGAAAGAGTTGTTCGCGATGGCCTTGGAACCTTGCACGTACCCAGACAGTAGCGGACGTCTAGCAGGCAGTCAAAGGTCAGCATTTATGGACGCTTTGAATGCCTCAGAAATTGGATGCACACACTATCTTGGCAATAAAGCCTTACAGAAGCGGTCGTATCCTCAAATTCGGGAACCGTATATGCGACGCGCTTATACCTGACTTATTCAAAGATCAATGGTGAAAGGCAGTTGACATTCCATATCGTTTTAGGAGTTTGAAAGGTGCGCAACATCCCTGCTGCGAAATAACAAAAGGTGCGAATCAGTTAAGTCTTGATTTGTATTTACAGACTGCACTGGAGAGCGAGGTGGGTGGGGGGGGGGGGAAATAAGAAGATCCAACAGAGTTTACGGTTCACCAATCCTGAATACTGCGCTGTGGTTTTGGAGTTCCGGGAATTTTCAGCAAATGGGTTCGTAGTGGCTTTGTGTAAACTTTTGGGGCTTCAAAGTTTTCAACTGATAGTGCTTTCCGACCCACATCATTTTATGAGTTCCGGAAGACACTCTAGTAAAGGCGGAGGAACCAGCACCTGCGCTTACTAACACCTTCGCGAAGGTGGTTTTGCACCATGCTGCCCTTTCCCGTTGGTATCAGCGCTTGGTATCATCGCGTGGTTTATTCAAATAGACAACAACATAAACGGCAGACAACATAGTGACCTTCAAGTATCGTTGACGGTTGACTGTTACCGCCCGTTCCCGCACCCTGCTGGAGGTGCAGGCGAGAGTAGACACTATTTAAAGGCACTTCCCGCGACTGCACAACATAGGTAGCAGAGTTCAAAAACAGGAGTGCATTGTGCTAGTTGACTTAGTAGTGAAGAAAAAGTATGAAAAACCGTCCTCAATATGACCCTCCTCCTTGCACTTGATCATGATCATCGGACGAGAGTAGGATGGTCAAGATCAACAGTGATATGCAGGTGACGATACACTGCAAAGCGCGGAGAGAGACTGGAAAATGACGGGCGAGAGAGCACAATGGCATTAGTACGACGACACGGGCAAGGTAGCCAGCATGGGCCTCCTTGGGCCCTGAAAATCTCGAAGTTTACTGTGCTTTGCGTGCCATTTTCCAAGTTTTGAATGCAGTGCAACCTCTACAATCGCCTACCGGATCATCTGACACATTTGAGAGGTTATAGCCTTAGTTTATTGCGGAAAGTGCCTTAGCAACCACTTGTGTGCACTTATATGTATGACACTTTTCGAGCTACTTCGCGGTCTTGGGTACAGCTGAATGCATGAATGATAACAAATGAGGAGTGACAAGGGGAACGAATAGTGTGACTGAATTTTTCTTCCCGGTAGGAATGCTAAGGATTTTTGGCTAACATGATAAAGGATCTTGAGAACATAGTCCATTAACGCAAACAGTACACGTAAGCTCAACTGCACTACTCAAAAGAATAAGCTGCCTCAGAGCCAGAAGCAAATATACATGCAAGGAAGGTGTCACCGTTCGCTCCAAGCCATGTTACTGGACACTGGTACAGAAGTGGTAACTGTACACTACCCTGAAGCTTCAAAAAATGGCCGTCCATGCTAAAATTTAGCAAGGAAGGACTCATTTTTTCCGCTCGTTACAGCAACATGCACCTAATAGAGCTACGATTTGCTCAGATTCCTAGAACTTTTTAATTGTATTACATTGTTGTTATTAATTGTACTACATTTCACTGCGGTTCCATGCCGATATCTAACGATTACGGCTGACCGGCTCACCAAGTTAAACGTGTGAGTGCTGTAAGGTTACGGCATAAGCCGTTAAGCTGAGAGGGTAAAAGCGGCCCTGGTGGCGTAACGGATAGCGCACTCGCCCGGAAAGCGTGAGGTGCGGGTTCGACTCCCGCCTGGGCCTTTTGCCCATAACTCAGCATTCTTGTGATAACATTGTTGTTGTATTTTGTTATGATAATTGCTGTTTAACGCCGCAGTACGCGTTCCGAATGTTATCACAAGAATGGTGAGTTGTAGGATATTGTTGTTGTAGTTTTCGTCAGAGAACATAGCTGAACCCAGCTTGTTCAGCAGACTTGCTACTTTCTGACCATCACCTTTTTAGATTCCTAATATGCTGCCTTCGAAGAAAAAAAAATTCAACTGATTACAACTAGGAGACGAGAGTTACCGTTTTGTCTCACCGGGACAGCGATGTCGAAAAGCTGCTCAAAGGATGGGATACGATCATCAGATAGTGAATGTGATTGCATACTTGTTGAAGGTGTCATGTCGCAGGACCTTTTGCTCAACCACTTGGAAGCCACATTTGAAGGCATAAGACAAATTAATAAACAGCTGAGCAGGGATCCGGGACATGCCAAAAAAAATACTGAATTCTACCCATTTGCTTGCCTTAGTCTGGGTCAAAAGAATGCAGCCGTAATACAGAGGCAGTCAAAATTCGGAGTAGACAAGTGTGCTCAATAAGGAACTCTTTTTGACCATCTGACTAAAACTGAGCAGTTTGGGATTATTAGGAATTCGACATAAGGAAGTCCGACAGTGCAGCCACTCGTTCTTATTCATTATTCGTTTAATAACAATCAAAACTTTTGGTCAGCCCCGTTTTAGGGTGGGTCGCACATTTGATTTTCTTTCGAAATCGCAGTGGCAGCTTAGTGCCCAAATGCGGATTTAGCTTTTACAGTGACTTGGACACCAAATGTTTTCAGTTCAAACAAATCTGGTTCCAGTTTTTGACATCGGATGGATGATAGGCTTCAGATGACCTGGACGGACTGTGCCTGGAACTTGATTACCCTTTTTTTTGCATAGTAGTCGACACAACTCGCCAGCAGACGTACCTATTTAGTAAGACCTGTTCAGGGTGTTTCAGAGTCAGAAGAGAGTG